TCCTGCTGATGAGCCAGCTCTTCTGCAGATCAGATAGGGTAGCTTCGGACCATAGGAGACGACTTGAGCTAGTGTTCAGAGCTTTAGACGTCAGTACTGCCTCTGACATAGACAGGGCCGGACTGAGGCACGGGTGAGCCGGGCAGCTGCCCAAGGCGCTTACCGATGGGGGGCACCTGATGGCAGCTATGAGGGGCACGCAGCGTCTCTTACAGCTGCCATCAGGCGTCACGCGCCCAGCTCCTGCAGAGCCAGCCCCGCAGTGCCGGCCAGCAGCCCCTTCCCCCCACGGCCGCGGGGCCTTGCACGTGCCAGCAGCAATGGCTGGGCCGGGCTGGGCTGCACATGTGCTATGCGCCCTGGGGGTGGGCCCTGGGCTGCGCGCTAGCGGCCATGGCTGGCCCACACATGCGTCGTCCGCCCCACGGGTGGTCCCATGCACCCTGAGGGGGTGGTCTCGTGCACCCAGGGGCGGCACCGCGCACCTGGACCCGGGGCACCAAAAGGTCTCGGGCCGGCCCTGGACATAGACTACCTTTGTACCCTTACCTAAGTCACTTAGCCATAATATCTTTGGCTGCGTCTACACTGCATATCAATTTTAAAATAATTTTGAAATTCTGGTCATCTGAAGAAATGGGCTGTGCCCATGAAAGCTCATGATACCATCTACATGTTTTGTTAGGCTATAAAGTGCTACCAGATCATGTGTTGTTTTATTCCAGAATAGTTATTCTGAAATAGTTTATTTCAAAATAGCACGTCTACACTACAGGGAAACCTCAAAGTTAGTCCGAGGCAGGCTTCCCTAATGTAGACGTGTGATCTTGATTTAGAGCCCCAGGAGGCACTGGGGAGGAGTAATTTAAAATGGCCCTGGTGAGGGGCTATTTCGAAATAGCAGCAGTGGAGCGTCTACACACGCCTTATTTGGAAATAGCTATTTCAGAATGTGCATTATTCTTCGTAGAATGAGGTTTACAGATTTTGGAATAAGCCGCCCGTTATTTCAAATTAACGGAATGGCTCTCACATAGTATAGACTCTCACATAGTTATTTCGAAATAATGGCCTTTATTCCAAAATAATTTTGCTGTGTAGATATACCCTTTGTGTCCTGCTTCTTACAGTGATGCCCGTGGTGCTTATCTACCTCACAGGAATCTTCTGATAAAGTTTGTAAAGCGCTACTAATGGTATGTTAAGTCCTAACATTTCCCTGAATGAGCACACAACTTTACAGTGTCTAGAGGCCTTACTACCCTCAGAATACTTGCTTGTTCAGGAATTTTCTCTTTACACACTTTAGTGAGAACAGAAAGGCTCTACTATTGCATCCAGAGAAACTGGGGGATGGCCAATGATACCCCTTTTATGTAGATTTAGTCATTTATATCGGATGCCACCTTCAAACCCTGCCCCCAATGCCCAGCAAAATCTTCCACTTCCCTGATCTTCCCCAAACTCTAAGGCTTACCCTCTGCATGGTAGTAAACTCAGCATGGCCAAGAGTTATTTGCATTATTATGATATGGAAAATTGTTTTGTAGGTTTTCCCCAAAATGCTAAGAACAGTTTTGTCCATTTGGATTCTGTATAGAGAATCTTATACAGTGTTCTGTTTGAATTTAATGTGTTGGTTTATATTCATTGTGATTGGCCATCTAACCTTACACAGTTGCATGATTTTTTGAAGGGTTAGAATGACTTTTTTTTGTTTTCTATTAAATAGAAAAAATATCTACAAATATATAGTTTGTAATGCAAATGTTCTGTTTATATGCTGTGCTGTGAAATGACCTAGGTTCAATCTCTAAACTCCATATGGCAGACAAAATTTTGTTATAAACAAGGCAAAATATTCCAATTACTTCTGTTTTGCTTTGCTGCTGCTATTTAATCCTGTAGTTTGTTTTGAGAATGCACAAGAATAATGTTAGCACATGGAAAATCATTACACATGAATGTCTGATCTGCAAACATTAAAATTTATCACAGTTTCTCTTGTATAATATGTTGCGTTATCGAGAGCTTACAATGAATATAAAATATTAAATAAAAGGCCTATATTGCTTTTATTTTAAGTACTGTAAAGAATCTTATAATCTTCAATTGGGACAGAATAAGACCCCAAATAATTAATATAAGAGCAGTGTTAATAGCTGGAGAAGATATTCTAGCTTTGGGTCATAAGATTTCTCTGTAATATAATGGACTAAAACCCAGGCTTCTATCTTATTTAAGGAATTGATGTTTGGCTTTTCACTATCATTAGATTGTTTTCAATTCCTACAGCAAATCTTGACTTTTTTTCCCCCCTTAGAGCTTCGCAGATACCATGATGGCAGCACCTTGGAATTTCATGAGAATAGTTCATTGTTCCAAAACTGTTTTGTCACAAGGAGTCCAGATAGGAGGAATCACCAGTGATTTTGGGCATGCCTGGTCCAGGACTATAACTTCAAGTTTTGCTGCCAAACCACCCACATCAAATACAGTGGAACTGCTTGGTAAATCATACCCTCGAGATGACTACTGCAATGTCACAGAAAAAATTCTCTCCAAAGTGGGAAAGAACTTGCACAACCAACGATACCACCCTTTGTGGCTGGTCAAAGAGCGAATAAAGGATCATTTTTACAAGCAGTATATAGGACGTTTTGGGACCCCTCTCTTTTCTGTTTATGATGATCTATCCCCAGTGGTTACAGTGGAGCAGAACTTTGACAGTCTGCTTATCCCACAAGACCACCCTAGCAGGAGGAAAAGGGACAACTATTATATGAACCGCACTCATATGCTAAGAGCACATACATCGGCTCACCAGTGGGACTTGATGCACTCAGGATTGGATGCCTTTCTGGTTGTGGGAGATGTCTACCGCCGTGATACAATTGATAGCAGCCACTCCCCAGTCTTTCATCAGATGGAAGGAGTGCGGCTCTTCTCCAATCATGAGGTAGGAACTATTCATAATGCTTAGAATGACTAACGAGCAGGGAGTTTCACAAGCCCCTCTATTTGTCTAATATCACCTTTACTAGTACCTGTAACTGCAGCCTGTCAAGGAATTTCCCTATTCCATAAGGTTCTTGCTTCTAGCCCTCACAGAATGCAAAAAAAAGTGCCTTAAAACCATGCCACGATGACATATATGGAAAAACTATCTTGGGTAATGTGTAGACATTTCTAAAATGTATTATATATATTTTATATATATTATATATATCTTCAAAAGCTGTTCAGTTTTCCTTTGTATGCCAAAGAGAATCTTGTTTTACTGGTAAGGAGGCTAACCCCCTCCCTCCCCCCCACAATATCAACTAGGGATGTAAAATCCCAAGTTAATCAGTTAACTGGTGAAACCTTAGGTGAGATTACACTTTGCCCTCCTTTGCCCTCTCTCTCCCCCCGCCCCC